ATATAATCCATATGGGTTGCCTAGCAAATTTCAGTCCAGAGTATGTTTAATTAATATTTAAAAAAAAATTTTTTTTTATAATTTGCATGTAGTCAATTTTTTGAACTTTTTTCAATCAATATTTTTAATCAGGGTAGTATTATATATGTATCACTATAACCTTCTTTTATACTAAAGATGTATATATACTTTAGTGTCACATAAAAAATATACACATAAATAATTAATTGATTAAAAACAACCTAACGTTTGCATATTCTATGGGCTTCATACTTTCGATTGGTATAGAATTTATCTAACAATCATACCGGTGAAATGTTTAAAAAAATATTTTTTTTTTAAATTAATTAAACATACTCTGGACTGAAATTTGCTAGGCAACCCATATGGATTATATTTATTGACATATTAAATTATATATAAAATAAGTTTCATTAAATAAGCATCTCGGTGAAGGTCGTTGTATAGCGGGATCTTAGACCAAAAGGTCTATCCACAGACTGCGACACGACATCCCATGGATAGCTTGTATCGACAGATGGCTATTACAATCCGTCGATTGGTTATTGGCACACTTGTTACAATATTTGGATTAAGATTATCTATAATATCTCAGATGGTGGATTATAGATTGAGATAGGTTATTAAGTTCGGGCGTTAGCCGACTTGAGAACTTCCACATCCGTAACATTAGCGTTAATAAAAAGTTAAGTGTTTTTTGAAGATATACTTCTTTAGGCGCGTTACGAAAAATTGATGAGAGTGAAATTTTCGATGCGCGCGCACCGTGACACAATATTAACAGAATGAAGTTAGTGGCGCATGTTGGCACGCACGCCGCCTCTGTTCACTATGTATTTATATTCATAATATTTATCCACATGCTTTGAGTTTCTACATTTAAAACACGTGTTTTCATTATATAAGTGCGAACTTTATATGTGCGTCTGAATTATAATGAGAAGTGATTTTAATTGAATATTTAAATCAATACTAATTAATATTAGAAAATAATAATAAATATAAATATAATATTAAATAAATATTTATTTATTTAATTTTTCAAATGTAAACTGAACTTTATTGACTCCTTTTCCAGTCTTTGATTATTTAATTGTAATTAATTATTTGCATGCAATCAAAAACTATTTTTAATAATGCCAAAGAAGTATAACTTCTTACGCGCGTACATAAGTACACGCACCCTTTTTATTTTTAATGTATTGGGCTTTCAATTTTTATATTAATTACAGACAAGTTTTCGTTGGATTTGGTAGAGGGCACCTTCATCAAGTGGATTTCACAAAATCACGACTGGACAAAGGGTACAAAGGCGCAGCTGGGGCTATAACTAGTATTGCACTGTGCGAGCGGGAGAGACTGATTGTCAGTTCCAGTTTGGATAGGCATTTGCGTGTGCACGAAAGAGATAGCAAGAATTGTGTGTATAAGGTAATTTTTTTTAAAGTATATTTAGAGGTCCTAGTTTCGATTCTCGGGAGAAAATAGTTGTTTTTAATTGTTACACTTCTGCGTCTATTATGAAAAGGAATCCTTTTTCGCCGGTAATTGAATCCCGAACCTCAGCTTCTTCGTCATATGCAATCAATAAGGGAGCGTTCAAGTATAACGTCTCGCAATTTTTGGAGATTATTGACACCCTCTCCCCCCATGTAACGCACCGTAACGTTTTTCTGTACTGAACTAGTACTATACTTAAGTCTATAAGACTCTTTATACCTAAAAGTTACCATTATGTGGTGTAAAGTACTGGAAACTCGAAAAAAATATTAACAATAACGGGTAATTCAATCCCCGCCCCGCATCGTAACGTTTTAAAAAAAGACCCCCCCTCCAAAATTCGTTACGTAATACTTGAACGCTCCCTAATCTATCTCATACCATACCGTGTATATGTATATTTTTCATATATAACTGATATTTTTTTTATTATTGTATGACAATAAAGTTTATTTTTTCAGCAATACCTAACATCGAAGCTAGTACAAGTGCTGGTACAGTCGCAAAGAAACACAGCATTTAAAGTTGTTGTTAAAGATGAATCTGACGTGGAACCAATACAGACCGTAAAATTGGACCAAACAGACGAATTAGATGACATCTTCGAAAATATGGAAACTATAAGGTAACGGGCAAATTCTCGTTCTTTGATTAATATGTGTGTGATATTTTTGTATAAAAACTCTCAGTAATATCATAGAGCTTTTGAAGTTATACTTCTTTAGGCGCGTTATGAAAAATTGATGAGAGTGAAATTTTACGATGCGCGCGCACCGTGACACAAAATTAACAGAATGAAGTTGCCCACGGAAGATGCTACGGCATTGGACATAATTTAAAAACAACATTCGAATAATAATAGAATTTATGTTACACTTAATGTAAGAGAATAATAATACATACTTATGTATTTAATTTTTCAAATGTAAACTGACCTTTATTGACTATAATGACTCCTTTTCCAGTCTTTGATTATTTAATTGTAATTAATTATTTGCTTGCAATCAAAAACTATTTTTAATAATGCCAAAGAAGTATAACATCTTACGCGCCTACATAAGTACACGCACCCTTTTTTTTTTTAATGGCTCTGGCACGATTTGTGCATTAGCCAGCGTCAAGTATAGGATTTTTATAATTCGTGCTTGTCTTTAGAAATTCGACCGTGTCCTCCATGTACGGTTTAAGCACTCGCCCGGTACCGCACAACCCTCCCAAAGGCCGAGAACAAATTTAAATTAAATTAAAACTTGCCCTCGAACCGGGAATCGAACCCGGTACGTGGGGTACCGGGTACCGGGTCGATTCCCTACCTACCTAGCTGCCACTTAATAAGACCGCTAGGGTATCAGAGAGCTTTTTGTTTAAAAACTATCCAGTTCTCGTAATTTAAAACAGATGGCGCTATTTCGAAAAATCCGTTTATTAGACAAATGTAGTTTATGTAAATTGAAACAGATGGCGTGCAAAAATCAATTCTAATTTTTATTTTGGGGTGTATCGGCGCCGATTTTGAATATTTATAAAAAAATACAAATTGTATTTGTAATATTATAATTGCAGTAAATTATAATGTACTAGCAGACCGGCCAAGCGTTGCTGTGGCTAAGGTTTTTGTTATATTATAAAGTAACCTATTCAAGGGAAACGGAGGAACACCAGTCATGGGAACCACCATGCTTTTTTGGTGGTTATGCCATTAAATTGTAGCTTATGTGAAACATTGGTGCATTCAACACAGCGCCATCTGTTAGAATTGTATCAAATAATAAACAAATATTTTGCAACAAAATAATATTGCGGGTTTAAATTGAGATGTAAGCTATCCTATCTTTTAAGTTAGATCAAACTGCACACGGTGTGCAAATTTGATTGATATCGGTTCGGTAGTTTAGGGAATCCATAGCGGACAAACAACGTGACACGTAATTTATATATATGTACATATTAAGATTAGTGCGGATTTTATTACACCGTCAAGATGTCTTCAGAAATAATAAATAATAATATGTGATGCGCACCAATTTTGTATATATATTAAATATTTATACAGTATTGACGTTAATTTACAGTGAAACAAGAAAGAAACCCAGTTCTGAACCACAAGAAACTGAAGTGAAGAAACTGCGGCCGTCACTAGAGGGCAGCACGGTCGATACAAGCGAAGATCCGATTCTTAAATTACTTAAGAGTACCGAAAAGACTAGGAAAAAACGGGAGAAGATCAAGCGAGAAAAGAAACAAAAGAGTCTCTTTTATAATGCTTAAAATAAAACTTGTTATAGATGACTTTGTTTCATTTCAAATACAGTGTAATCTTTTTATAACGTAATATACGTCATGAGTTAAATTCGCTTGGTTCAACACAAAAACTATACATTAATTCCCTCTTTATAACGGAACAGCCATTCTCTATTACGAATAAATATTTTCGTATTTAGACATCTACAACATACTTAAGTGTAATTGTTTTTATAATCAGATTACAAAACTAACCTATTGAGGTGCCGAAATTTCTAAGAAAGACACCTGAGGTCATAAACAGCTCCGTATAACAAAAACTCTATATCGAAGACAAAATTCTCGGTCCCTTAAAATTCGTTAAGAATTTACACTATGTACTATATACATACAGTCTCTATATAACGAATTAACGACAGTCAAGGGACTGTACGTATTTGACGTTACAAAGAGTTGTTGTTAAATAGAATGAAGAATCTGTATTAGAAAAAGAAAAAGTTTATTTCAGACAAGTGTTAGTAATTACGTAAAACAATTCTTATTTGAACGCTATTGCGTATTTTGCTGCACCCGAAATTATGTGGTATTTTTTACTTATTTTATTCATAATATCTTGTATATCGATAATGAGGCATCTTCGTTATAAAGCACGTTCAAGCAATCCCAATTTGTAAACAAAAGAACGGATTTCTTCGAAACTTTGGTATGTATGATGCAGACAGTCGAGTTTCAGTACGTACACAGTTCCGCAGTTTTAACTAATTTCAGCAACTTAAAAAGTACTTTTATTATTTAATTATCGCTATTGAGGATGGGTGTAATGCTATGTAGAGTGTATCATTGTATGGAAGACAATCTTATCCTACCAAAGCCGAGAGATTTCGATGTTTTAGGGGGTTACATGGAGTTTACACTGTATACTCAAAACTACTGAATAGATTTTAATGAAAGTTGAAATATATAAAAAATTACCACACATCCCAAATCTACATAGACCATCAGTAAATTTTACTCCTATTACATACTATATAACATTAATAATTAAGGCATTAATGCATCAGATTCAAACACAATGTTACTAATAAATAAATGGAAAAATAGGTAAGTATATTTCTTCAAGGGAAGAAAATTAACAACATTATTCTACATTACTAGAGGAATCGTTTACATGACCTAGTTCAGTGAAACTGACCAAGGCCACATCTAAACAAAAATAAAACTCAAGTATATATAGCATTCTATTTATTATTTGGAGGCCAGTTCTCATCCCCGGTGACAAATAAATTAGCCACTAGGTCCCAAAGGGCATCGCTGTTGATATCCATATCAAATGATTCTAGCAAATGCTTTTGTTGATTCTTTATATCTGATTTTAAATTAAGGAAATATCTTAAGATCTAATTGTATGCCGGAAGAAATCGACATGATCGTAGAACAATGTCGGATTTGAAAAAAATCCACTTTTTACCATGTTTTATTTACTACATGACTAAATATTACGGCTACATCGAAAGAAAATCCATGTGTTTTAAATTTCAAATTAATCAGTCGGTAAAGTGACGGATTTGATAGAAGCATGTGATTTTTCTAGAAACCTATGTAATTTAATGAGATTATTTTTATTTTGTTTCAAAACAAACCCTTTTGTTTGCTTGTATGCCCATAATAACAAAATAAGAATTAAAATAGTTATGACAAAAACTAACATGATTATATTATTTAGAAATGGCTGCCCGGTAAAGTTTACTATTTGTCAGATCCGTCACTATTCTACAACTATGACTAAATAATCTCCCATGTAATTGAATACGAGGGATGAGCCAAAACCTGTGATTGTGCTTTGTCTAATTGAGAAAAAACCTACAACCATGAATAACTTTTAATAGAATAGAAACCTGCTAAACAGAAACTATTATTGTTTTTCCAGCAATGAAATTCACACCAGGATATTACTAACTCCTTGTCCCGTTGCCACTTGTGGCCCAAGACACCCCTGCATATATTTTATAGTTCTACATTAGCAAACACATTATTCAACCCATTCTTATCCGTAAATTTTAATAAAAGGATACAGCCCTTTGCCTTATTAGGATGTTTTGCACAGTATTCAAAGTCTAATCTTATACCAGTCAATTCCTTTGCTAGAAGATACTGTTCCCTGCAACAAATAAAAAAATAGCTACAATTAAAATAGTCAAATCTAACAAACTTTGTAATATTATGTTATACTTTTTGATATAAAACAAGCAATAACAATTTAAAAAAAACAAAAATGTTTTTTGTGTCACAATTTTACATTAAATACATGAGTCGAGACAGCCCCCGTAAGTAGTCAGAGACACTTGTTTTGGGGTTGACTCGCTACTTCCCTTATTTATACAATATTGAGACAGTTGTTAGAAAAGAATACAAAACAAAACCCCGCTAAGAAGCAAAGCCGGTAAAAAATTTAAGAAATTGTAACTCTCATAGATTCTCTGAAAATTCTATGAACTTATTCTATGCATGCGTTTTTGTGTGTGTATGTGTGCTGTGTGTGTGTGTGTGAGTGAGTGTGTGCTTGTTGTTAAGTATATAATTATGTATGTGTAAGCAATATAGCGCATCCTCAGGCTTGCCCAAGTTACATGTCTAGTTTCTTATAATCATCTGTATAAGCACTGACCATCTTGAGACAAATGGCTAGGACATGTGGAAAGGAGTGATTAATCAAAAAATAAATCTATCCATATTTATAAAGAAACCTACAATTTCTTTATAAATATATAAAATAATAAGAAAAAAGAATAACCTTGCAGTTTCCAGTTTGTTTTTATCACTGTCAGCAATATTGAGACGGGTTTTTATCAAGTTACACACTTTGTCCACATCATCAGAGCGCCTAGTCAAATCTGCCAATTGGTTCTTTAGATTCTCCTAAAAAACTATTGTCATAGATCTTTCTCTTCCCTAGATGTTTGGTTGGACTAAAATACACTAAGATTTACAGAAATCAAAAATTCTACAATCCCTCAATGGAGCAGACACACTTATGCTTATTATAATTATTCTTCTTATATAAACCTTTTTTACTTATGTACCAAAAACAATTATGTTTCCTCCATATAATCAAGATTTTTCTTATTTTTCTCATTAACAAGACATCAAAAAAGAACTGTATTTAAACATATGGAAATTTGGATTTAGCTAGCACATTTGTCTTGCATCTGAATCTTGCTCATTGATTAAAATCATACATATTTAGAAATTACATAATATCTAAAGACTAGAATAAGTAAAACCGGTAAAATTAATAATTTTGTGGCATTTTTAAATAATAGGACATACATTTAATTTGCTCTCCTGTTGTATTTGAGATTCCAATGCAGTTTGTTTTTTAGATAATTCTCTACGTGTTTTATCACGATCTATAGCCTCTGTAATATAAAATAATTTTATTTCAAATGGTAACAGAGATAATAAACAGTAATGAAGATATCCTTTAAAATATACAACTCTGAACTGGCGATAATTACATTAAAAGCAGTCTATAAAAATGCAGGAGTATTGCAGAAATAATTGGTTAATTTAGAAGACTATTGAAAGCTAACACTAACTCACCATCTAATTCGTGGCAAACTGCCTCAAATTCCATTTTAATATTATCGAGCCACTTTAAATTGTGAGACATTGTTTTGGTTTTCTTTTAAACAGTAAAATAATATGCCTTATTTCTTTTGAAATTTGAATAAAAGTTCAGTATGTATTAATGATACCGTAGAAAACTTTTCAAACTTAACACTCTAAAAAGTAAACAAGCTTCATAACGTTTTTGGAAATTCAAATATTAAGTGTTAATAATACTTCCTTCAAATGTCAATCGTAATCAAACTTTCTAAGCCAACTGTCAAGTGCCAACGTGCCTTGAAAAAATAATGACCGGTATCCCGTACCGGTTTTTCTCTTAATTTCTAAAAGTCTTTAAGTTTTCAATTTTATTTAATTTTGTAAATTAAATTATGTAAAAATAATAAGTAATTACATATAAAATTATTTAACCTTTTTTTTAAATTTAAGTGTTGATACTAGCGCCGCAAAAGGATTAGGAAAGTTGGAAACTAACGCAGCCATTTTTGTGATGGCGGCTGATATTTATAGATCGTAGGGTGTTGTTAGAATTCAATAATAAATGCAGTAAAATGGAGGAAACGAAAGTGATTTATTATATAGATGACGAAGAGACGCCGTATCTCGTCAAAATACCTATATCACCAGAAAAAGTGACTTTGCTGGACTTTAAAAACCAGTTAAACAGACCAAACTACAAATTTTTCTTCAAATCTATGGACGATGACTTTGGTGTGGTTAAAGAAGAAATTGTTGATGATAACGCGCATCTTCCGTGTTTTAATGGTCGTGTAGTGTCGTGGTTAGTTTCAGCTGAGGGTTCCAATCCATCTGACGGTGCATCTCAGTGCACTGACAGTAATGCTGGTAAAATGAAGCAGACTCCAGGGGCTCCAGCAGCACCTATCACTAGAGATACTTGTACTGATACAGATAGCACTATAAGCTCGAGACCTGGACACAGGGCATCTTGTGACAAATACAAGTACAGAGGTCTGAGAATCAATGGTCATTCGAAATACAACCATGGTCTGGAATACGAGACGGCCTCTGTGCTCAGCTCTGATCTGGACTCCACTAGTCTATTTGACAGTCAATCTGAGATTACAACAACTACAGGTCGACATACAAATGCTTCAGTAGATCGAGCATTGACAGAATGTTCTAGTGTCTCTCATCTCCAGGTTAGCTCACGGAAACGTCCTCAAAGGAGAAGGAAACGACCACAGGTTATGTCAAGGACATCTTCCTACTCATCTATAACAGATTCCACAATGTCCATGCATATTATAACAGTGACTTTGAATATGGATACAGTGAACTTTCTGGGAATTTCAATTGTTGGGCAGTCAAATAAAGGTGGAGATGGTGGGATTTATGTTGGAAGTATTATGAAGGGTGGTGCTGTGGCTTTGGATGGCAGAATTGAGCCTGGTGATATGATTTTACAGGTAAATTACCATATATTTTATTTATCACTTGTTTACTTACATGATACTCTCCCTCACTTTAATAAAAGTATTTTGAACAATACAATACAACCTTTTATCAACTATTCTCTGTAGTAAATCTTAATAATGTGTCACACTATTTAAAAGTTTGGTTAGTTATAATTAAGCTTAGAATCAGGAACAAGACTTAGCACCAACTGTGGCTCCCACCATTAATTACACAACGATTAGGTGTCCATTACTTAGTTATTGAAGGTTAAGTAAATATTGGAAAATTAATCAAACTTAGCGTTCACTGTAAATTCTAATTCTGAAATGAATTCCTTGAGAAAGAATTCACTTTATATATATATATATATATTATATAACATACCTAAAACTTGACTTCAGTCTTAGTATGTTTTATAAATGTCAGCTGATTTTTTTTTGCCTTTACTGAAAAAAATGGGTATATAATGGGTCTCCTGAATGTCATGGGGAAGTTACGTCTTATATGGAGATAACATCACATACATATGCTATAAATATGTATATGACTTAAAAGTTATAGATTATAAGATAATAAAAAAAACAATCTACAATCTTATTGATAAAGATTGACATCATGATTGATGCTTTGTGTAATTTACACACGAAGCTCCCCTTTGAGCTTATCTCTTGATAAACAACTAAAAAATTCTTTAAAACTAAATTTGTGTCTTCACTTACTGACTACTGATTAATATTGATGGCAGATCTTTGATTAAACAATTTATGATGTGTGTAAGGCACACAAGGCTTACCACTTATATTTAAAAAAGTAGTATATATACATAAGAGTTTAATTTTACCCACCACAATTACGATTTTCAATAAAATAACGATTTTCAATAAACTATGGGTTATTGGCTACCTAAATAAAATAAATATATCTGAAGAATTTGGCGGCTTTTTCATCTGTATTAGATATATTGTACATATGGGTAGGGAAATCCGTGGGTGTACTGCCAGGGTTTGCAGAACCTCATTGTGGAGAATCAGCAGACTAACATTGCGCATGTTAAAGGGTATTTATTTGGTTTGTCATTTCTTGTTCACACCACTTAGGAATGGAACTCCCTTCCTGTGTTAGTTTTTCTGGTTAATTTTAAAATCTTTATAAAAGCCAGGTTGTAGAAACAAAATTGACCATGAGTGATTCAGTACCTAATCTTGCATCTATCCCTTCTGTTAAATGGGACACCTGTATATTTAATCTGTCATAAAAATATATTTTTTTGTTTGATTTGTAACCTTGTGTTTAGTATTTAAGACATGGTTATTAAGACTCAAATTAGTTTATATCTTTGTTTGATGTGAACTCCCATTGAATTGTTTATGTATATTATAAACATTCTCATTACAGATGTTCTAATGTGTAATTCAATGCTGATTTTGATAAAGGAAGAGATTTATATTTGATAGCATGGAAAATAACAATTAATATACAGTAAAAGCTCCCTATTCGCGCTTCCTTTATTAGATTTTTTACTATTCGCGGATTAAAAAAATGCAACCCAATTTCTTTATTCGCGGCAAAAAAATTCTTTATTCGCGGATCTAACATTTCATACAAAATTCCAATAGGTGTTTAACGAAATATCATATAAATAATATGGAGTGTAATCCTGATATGAATGTTATGGAATGCTGGAAGAAATTTGACATAGCAAAATGCATCGTAAACATAAAAGAATCATTGGACGAACTGAAACCACACACATTGAAGTCATGCTGGAAAAAACTATGGCTGACTGCGGAAAATGACGAAAAATCCGTGCAAGTTCAAACTTTGACTTTGGTTTAAGAATGGAAAATGAGCTTTGCGATTTCTTTATGAACATTGATCCATCTATGGAACGAAGTCTTAATTTTAAGAGGCAAATTGCTAATGCGACTGCTGATTATCAGTCTGAATTGAAGGAGCTATAAAAAACTGCCAAGCAAGAGAAAATAACAAAATTCTTCGAACCATTGCCTAAGCCCGAGGATAATGATTATATAATCAAAATGTTAAATAACATCAATAAAATTGATTTTCTTATATATTTGTGTTTTTTATTTTGGCGCCTAGGAACGTTGCCCCTATAAACCCATATAAATTACCATTCTGTATTCACGGTTTCTGTATTCGCGGCATATTTATGGAACGTATACCCCGCAAATAAAGAGATTTTACTGTACATATAAATACAACTGTGAAAATATATGTAAATGGAAACATCTTTTATTGAATTTGTCAAAGAAATTAGACAATTATCATATGCAAACAAAAGGCTATATACTAAAATTACAATTGAATTTCAATCTAGTTCAAGATCAAACTTAGTGATACTATAAGCCTAAATGATAATCAAAATCTTCATTTTTTTAATGTGAATTTCACATTTCAGGTGAACGACGTAAACTTCGAAGATATGACCAATGATGAAGCGGTTCGAGTTCTACGTGAGGTCGTACAGAAGCCTGGCCCAATTAAACTGGTGGTAGCGAAATGCTGGGATCCCAACCCGAAGGGCTATTTCACCATTCCCAGGACTGAGCCTGTGAGACCCATAGATCCAGGTATCCTATGCCATTTAATCATCACTACATTACAAATATTGTCGTTGGATTAGGGAGCGTTAAAGTATTACGTCACGCAATTTTTGGAGATTATGTGCCCCCCCCATGTAACGCGCCGTAACGTTTTTCTGTGCCCAAGTATATAAATATATACAAATATAAATATATAAATAAAGTAATAAAACCACCACCTAGTGCTCTTTAAGTTAAGACTCGTTCAAGTATTACGTAACAAATTTGGGGGGTCCTTTTGTGAAACGTTACGATGCGTGGCGCGGATTAAATTACGCATTTTGCACCACATAACGGTAACTTTTAGGTATAGAGAGTGACTGGGTGGTCACGAAACGTTTTACTATTGGGCACAGAAAAACGTTACGGCTCGTTACATGGGGGGTCAATAATCTCCAAAAATTGCGTGATAGTTTGAGAAAAGGGGCCGTTCAAGAATTACGTAAGCAGATCTGCAATTTATCCCCCCTCCTCTTGTCAGCAAAAGTAAGAAAAGCACAATAATAGTACATAAACGTATTCATTTTTTGTATGAATCCTCGAAAATGCATTTCGTTTTCAAGCATAGACAATGTGTGGGTAGTATGTGTAAAAAAGTAAAACCCCCTCCCCCGCCCCTATAGTGCTTATGTAATACTTGAATGCCCTCAAACTGAAAAAAGTAGCCGTACTTCGGACTACCGTAGGCGTTTATATCGATGAAGACACGTAGAAAAATCGTAAAGCTACTAGAATATCAAGTTAATAATGTTGTATGTCTTTCCAGGTGCGTGGGTAGCGCATACCCAAGCCCTTCGCGAAGCATACCCGCCACCTCCGTTATCCACCTTGCCGGCGCCCACCATACCCGAGCGGGCATCTGACGCGGGCTCCATTCCAGCGCATGAACCACAGCTGTCCGTGGGCATGGACATGGCGTTGGTGGTTAGAGCTATGCTCAGGCCGGATTCAGGTAAGAATATGTTCATATTAAGGTACCAAAATCTCTTCCAGGCAGAAGAGATAAAATCAACGAACAAAGAGGGATTTATAAAGAAAATAAGGCAATTGAAATGGCTCTGGACCGCACAGGATGAGAGATAGCAGGTTGAAATGGACAAAAGAAAAGAGAAATAAGGAAAAGAGGAAGACAGAGCCAGAGATGGGCAGACGATATAAAAAGAATAGGAGGCACAACTTGTACAAGAAGAGCTAACATCTGAAAGGAATGGAAGCAGCTGGAAGAGGCCTGTGTCACAGGACACGCTGATTATAAAAAAAGGGGCATGTATAAGATTAAGTTAGGTTATGTAAATCAAATAAGTGTTAATATATTATGCTGTAGCAATAAAGGCTTAATAATAATAATGTTCATATTGGTATTGTATTCATTTAAAAGAAAGCCAAGGTCATATTTAAAAAGAACTGGAGGCCTATACCCGTGAAGGGGCTCCGATCATTGGTACTGAAGGTAGCTAGGATATAGTATTGTCTTTTATTGACATAACTTTCACACATTTATAATAAAACAATTTTTTACCGGATTGAAGTTATGTATTTACAATTATTTTCATAATTTTAAATTTAACCGAAATTTCGCGTGCTTTACAGCGTGCGTGGTCACGGTGACTGAAGACAAAAGGTGTTGAATGTCAAAAGTATCACGGCTGTAGAAAAAGTTGTATTATCTGTTTATTATTTGTTTCCCCGGAATCAAATACCAATTAGTCGATACCAACTCCGTTGTTTTATTATAAATATTATGATAACAAGAAAAAAAATATTATTAACAAATCTATTATTATTGATTTAATATTAAAAATATTATTAATTAAATATAGTTAAAGCTATTTGTTCGCCGAGTGTATGTTATATAGGTTTCTGTATTACATATATATATATGTAATACAGAAACCGTGAATATGGAATGGTAATTTATATTTATATAATATTATATGTTCCTAAATTACAAAATTAAAAAAAAACTATTTACTTGATTTAATATAATTGAACGTCTAATATGTGCGGGTATTTAAAAATATACTTAATGTATTCAGTAATAAGGTTGTTTTAATTATGTTTCTTTACATTTTAAAAAACACCGATCGCGGTGAAGGCGGCTTATGTCAAAGGCCCAACCGATACAACATACTTTAGGCAAAGTTGTAACAAGGGCTATTTTACTTTTTTATTAGTTCCTATGACGGCGTTTGCAAAGGATAGTGGGTTGGATATTTATTGGAATTCTCTTTATTATTTTGTATGTTCCGCGAATACGAGAAATTGGGTCGCAATTTTTAGTACTATTTGAAATTGAATCAGTCGTTCGATTGAATGGAACGAACGAACTAGATCTATGCCATTATAAATTTTACCATAGTAATAGTTGAATGTTTGAATTAATATTTAAAAAAAAATTGCAGGCCTCGAAATCCGTGACCGTATGTGGTTGAAGATTACAATTCCAAATGCATTTATTGGAGCCGATGTGGTGGAGTGGATTTTGCAGCATGTAGCTGGTATCACCGATCGTCGGGATGCAAGGAAATATGCTTCGCATATGCTCAAGGTATATTTTTTTTATAGAACAGGGGGCACATGGGCAAAAGGCTCAAATACATATAAAAACTGGCTCATATCGTTTTAAAGTTGAGCTTATAACTAACAAAAAACTAACTTGACTTATTGACAAACACAACTGAGCGTTTTTCAAGGCAGTTTTTGCCGCGCACCACCACTATGTGGAATCAGCTGCCCACTGAAGTATTTCCGAACCAATTCGACTTAGGGTCCTTCAAGAAAAGAGCGTACCAATTCTTATAAGGCCGGCAACGCACTCGCGAGCCCACTGGCATTTAGAGTGTCCATGGGCGGCGGTTTAACATCAGATGAGCCTCCTGCCCGTTTGCCCTCCGTTCTATAAAAAATTGAAGAGTTAGACTTAGATTTACTAAGTCACACTTCTGTTATTGGACATTATAGGAAACGAGAATGTTTTATTAAAACTAGCTGACCCGGCAAACGTTTGTTTTGCCATGTATATTATTTCTAGGAAACATTTTTTTAGTTTAATAAAAATAACTATCATAAGAAATAATAAAAAATAGGTGTTGATCTTAGAGGGATGAAAATTAGGTGTTATATGAATTTCTGTATGCTGTATCATAAAAAAATAAAAGTTTAAGGGTGGATCACCCGTATCATTTAGTGGTTTGAAAGATAGTAGCCGATTGACAGACTTACCGAATATGCATAAAAACATTCATAAGAATCGGTCGAGCCGTTCCGGAGGAATATGGGAACGAACATTGTGACACGAGAATTTTATATATTGGATTTGTGTGTGGGAAACACTAAAGGACTCATTTTGGCTTCAAGTGTGTGACGATTGCTGAAATTTATTTGCACTTATATTACTATTAATTACTTAAGATGTCATGTGGAACATGGTTTAATGGTTGCAGCTCCTTACAAACGTTGTGTAAAAAAAACATGGTGATTAAAAAGAGTGGCGGAGAGTTTATTGCCAGTTCTTCTCTTGCGTTCTACGCCCTTGATTTGAGAACTAAATGTAAAATTAGAAGCATTAATATGTATTTGTTTACTGACAAGTCATAAGTATACAATGTGTTACCTATATGATTAAATGATTTTTGAATTTGAATTATAATTAACTAAAATATATATATGTTACTTAACTATTGTTAGGTTAGGTTATTTGAAATAAATAAATTGATGTAATTTCAGGCCGGCTTCATTCGCCATACGGTGAACAAGATAACATTCAGCGAGCAGTGTTACTACGTGGCGGGTGAGCTGTGCGCTGATATGGCGGCGCTTCGCTTGAGGCAGCCCGACGCTGACAGTCTGGCAAGTGACACGTTGGCACCGCTGCCTAACCCCAAGTATGTATATAGGGTGTTCAAATTTACGATACAAAAGCAGACGGTTTGTGGTTGTCTTTTGTTTTTGATCTGTTTGTGGTTAGAATCTGAAGTCAAAATGTAAAATGTTAGACGCAATCTAATAAATAAATACCTGAGTCTATACATACATTTTATTTGTTAGTGAATGTATTAATTTTATTAAGTGCGGTGCTCACATTAAAAGTGGTTTTATGGCGAGTGATAATTACGTCCCTTTTCATCATAAACAGTAAATAACGCAAAAGTAAAGATAACATTTATTTTTAAAAAGGTTTACTAAACCTGGAATTAGTAGGCAGTGATGCCAGCTAAAGAATAAAATAAAGTAATTAAAGTTAATTCTATAAATTGTTCGTATATTGATATATTCGTTATTTTTGTATTAGGTTACTTGAGTAAATAAATATTTAGATTAACCTTTTTGTAGGTAAGACAAAAAATATGTAACACAGTGCCCTCAAATGGGTAAATTTTTTCCCTTTTTCGGTGGATCGGTGGAGAACTTTTTAGTAGCAACACTTATGAAATGTCAGAATTCTACGGAATGAAAAATCATAGCTAAGACGCAACCTCTCAACCGCAATCCACTGAATACAATCAGAACTACCTTGCGTTGAACGAACGCACTGCGCAATCAAGATGGCGCCTCAACCCCACTCGAGGCATTTGCTGTGCTCTGATTGGTCATAACAATATTCGTGCGTTTAGGGAGCGTTCAAGTATAACGTAACGAATTTGGGGGGGGGGTCCTTTTGTAAAACGTTACGATGCGGGTCGGTGATTGAATTACGCGTTATTGTTAATATTATTTTCGACTTTCCAGTACTTTACTTTTAAAAATGTTACGGCGCGTTACATCCAATAATCTCCAAAAATTGCGTGACGTAATACTTGAACGCTCCCTAATGTTATATTAAAAAAAATGTGTGCGTGTACTAGGTGTACACACGTAAGAAGTGAAACTTCTTTATGACCTTATTAGAAACTATTTCTTTAAACACAGTAAATTTTGATACACTGCCTAGCATACAATTTACAAATTAATTGCTGCAAATTGCGATTAGCAAATTTCAAGTCGAAAATGTAATCCGTTGTCAAACTTCAAAGTCAAAAACATACTATATGTCATATTTTAACGCCGATAAAGAAGTTTGTCTTCAAAAAGCAACATGGCGCGTAACGGAAAAATGTGACGCGTAACGCAAAAATGTTACACTAAATTTTTTTCCAACCCCGATAAAGAAGTTTCACTTCAAAAAACTTTTTCAGTATGATGGGTCCCGGATATATGGCGTATGCTGGTTCGTACGGATACCAACCAATACCATTCAAGTACAGCTCATGCGTCACCAGCGAACACACCATTTATGGGTAAGTCATCATCCAATACAGTCGAGACAGAATACGAAATTCCATCCGTATCACCTCGACGTCCGTTCCACAACTGAGCGTTTTTAAGGCAGTTTTTGCTCTAAACACTTAAACATATTCAATTTTTTTTGACGTGACAACGTCTTATAATTTGATGGAGGATGCACGCACGAAAAAACATGATGCAGCGTTACCTCGCTCTGAGGCGTTCCATTTAAGGCTAGAAGTGCAAGCGAGAGCGCGGAACGAGCGACAGAGAGGCACAATAGTCCTCTGCGTTCGGCAGCGTTCATTCGTTAAAAAAGGGTGCGTGTACTTATGTACGCGCGTAAGAAGTTATACTTCTTTGGCATTATTAAAAATAGTTTTTGATTGCATGCAAATAATTAATTACAATTAAATAATCAAAGACTGGATAACGAGTCATTATAGTCAATAAAGTTCAGTTTACATTTGAAAAAGTAATAAATAAGTATTATTATTCTCTTACATTAAATGTAACAAATTCTATTATTATTCGAATGTTGTTTTTTTAATTATGTCCAATGCCGTAGCATCTTCCGTGGGCAACTTCATTCTGTTAATTTTGTGTCACGGTGCGCGCGCATCGTAAAATTTCACTCTCATCAATTTTTCATAACGCGCCTAAAGAAGTATAACTTCAAAAATTGACATAATTGTATTTATGCGTACAAATGTAACTTGATCAATTCAATTGTGATTTCCATTTACCTCCTTCTATATATCCATACAAAAATCTATCAAACAAATAAAATATTTTTTTTTTTTTTTTTTTGAAAAATGCAACCATTCCATTAGTATTTTCTTATGACGTTGTCACGTTCAACTATCGTCAGTAAACCGACTTTACAGACAACCGTTTTTTTTAATGAATAATGTGGATTGAAATTAATTTATTTTTTAAATTAAACTATTTTAATTTCTATTCATTATTTCAGCTACAACCGCGAAGAAAGTGTTCTGTCTGGTAGTGGAGGCTCCAGCGCTGGGTCTGATCATCTCACAGCAAAAGAACCAGCTGGTATGTATACTATGAAAATACCGCGATTCGAACCCGGGAACTTATTAAACTTAAGTGAAAACTTCTTTAGCGGCGTTGTACACTTTTTTTGGAATGGGTAAAAAATGTTAAACTCGCGTCAGGACACGTGACCTGATCGAAAATTCGTAAGACGGATGGAGAGTAGACTGCTAGCGCGGCGTATTTAATGTAATATAAATTGTCATGTTTGTGTACGATAGCGCAATAAATGAATATTGTATTCTGCCACATAAATGATAGTACTTTTATACTGATAATTAAAGCAATTCGTGCAAAATTATTCTCTAACCATTCCAAAATATCAAAAATGCACAACGTTAATATTCAAGTTTTTATTTCTTCCCTTTCTTTTCTTGTGTTTAAATATGTGACTTCAAGTGAAATAAATGTATCAATAACTTTGTGTACAGAATATTTGTATTCCTTACATGAAAACAATCAAAAAGTGTGCCCAAATATCAATAGAGTATTAATAAATTCTGCAGCGAGCCGTGAGGGCGAGGCGAAGTCGTCAAGCGGGTCTGGGACGAGCGTGGTGGAGGGCGGCGGGGGCGGGGGCACGCGGCGCTCGCACTCCAGCGGATCCGACCGGGCGCACGACAGGCCCGTGCTGTTCCTATAACGGTTAGTCATCTCACTCCTTAAATATTCCAACTATAATTACACTAGTACTGTGTTCTATTTTTGAAATACACTTGTACTAAATGTGACTCTAATAATGAGTCCGTGCTAAGGTTAGTGACCTCATTCTTAGAATATTCCAATTATGAATACACAAGTACTGTGATTATGTTGAGTAGATAGAGTTCTATTTTTAAATTTTACTTGTACTATAGGCAATTAGTAGTAGTAATACACATTCCATTTTTAAATCAGAATTCTATTTTGACTGTGCTAATCCTAAAGGTTAGTGACCTCATTTATAAAATATTCCAATTTTAAATTACTGTAATTTATACTTTACTCTATAACAGTGTTCGATTTTTAAATTATAGTTGTCTTAGCACACGTTCCATTTTTAAATTACACTTTTATTAAATTGACCAGGTCGGCAGATTCTAACGGTCAGTGACCTCACTCTTAGCACATTCCCTTTTGCAAATGCATTTCTTAGCAAATTTGACCAAATTTAAAAGTTTCTAGGTCCTTTTTTATGTGGAAAATAAAATTGTATTACAATATTATTAAAATTTTTGATTCAATTCAAATTTCCCCCAAAAATCGGTCAGTCACAGGTTATTAAACAATTTATCTTTTCTTTTAATTGAAAATACATACTTAAGTGGTTTTTCATGTTTTCTTTTTTCAGGACAAAGTTGTAAGAGTCCGCTACTGCCAAATAAGATAGTCTTGTATTAACGTAGTGTAAGAGTAATAATAATATAATCTTGCGGTGGTACCACCGATATTATTGCCATTTTTTTGTATATACCCACATTGGTACACAAATCTGACAAAAAAAATTATGTTTATTTTATTATATTGATATGATTTATTTATTTTGATTATTAATATTTATGTATTAATAGCTGGTACTTTTATAAGATTTTCACAAGTTTTTGCAAATTTTATTCACCAATATTTCATATACATTGCAAATATAATAAATAAAAAAGGAGGTTATACAAATTAAACACATATTTGCTTTCAAAGTTAATTTCCATTCCATATTGTTTGTCCACGAATTTCTCGAAAACTAAAAGCTAGTTTTAAATTTCCAATTTAAATCAGTCTTTAGTTTGATTAAATACGGTTCAGTGAATAATAATAATAGACTTTAATTCAGATACTTTTACATTTCAATCTTCTTTTAAGTACCTGTGTGCCCTATTTTGGCAAAGGCCTCCTCCAAAACCCCGCCATTCTCCCTCTCTCTTCTCTGCCATGTACCACCTGCTGTTTCTTTAATTTAGTACAACCTTCTAATTTGTCTTCCTCTTTTTCATTTGCTGTACTTGGGCACCAGTTTTGAACCTGCTCCAATTTTCTGTTCCTCTTGCCATGTGCCCCGCCCATCTTAGATTTTTTTTTATTGTAACATCTGTTACCTTATAGTATGTGCGCTGTAGCATGGTGTGGGTGACAGTTTTAGTAACGTTCCGTTGCACTCTTGAAAGTTGCTGCGATTTACAAATTATGACTATACTCTGATTTTTAATTCCGAAGAATTCTGACATTTCATTAGTGTTGCTACTAAAAAAGTAAAATTTGACTTATTTGAGGGCAATAAAAAAAAATGCTACATATTTTTTATGTTTTACCTACAAAAAGGTAAATCAAAATATTTACTTACAAGTGACCTAATACAAAAATAACAAATTTTTCAATATCACGAACAATATATCGAATTAACTTTAATTACTTTATTCTTTAGCTGGCATCACTGCCTACTAATTCCAGGTTTAGTAAACCTTTTTATTAAAATAACATGTTATCTCTTCTTGTGTGTTTTTTACTGTTTGTGATGAAAAGGGACGTAATTACCACTCGCCATTAAACCACTTTTAATGTGGAGCGCCGCACTTAATAAAATGAATACATTCATAAACAAATAAAATGTATGTATAGACTCAGATGTTCAGACTCGTATTGAAATTGAAAAATGTGCCCGGCCAAAAAGGTTTGCCATCTCTGACATGTCACTTTTTTGCTGTCACAATTCTACGGAATTAAAAATCAGAGTGTAGTATAATTTATTGGTTTTTCTTAAAGCTGTTTTGGAAAATAATATTGGTGAATAATATTAGCAGGAATTGGTGGTAATTTTATTTTATTACTATATGTTTGAACTCTTATCACATAAACATGTTTGTGTACCAATGTGAACAATTTTAGATTTTTTTTTACGAAATATTTACACGGAATTGAACAAGGTAACGTGCCATTTTTTTTTATCAGCGAGCTTCCGCGTACAAAATGTTTTTTTTATTTTGCTTGAATTAAAAACGATATTTTTTGTTCGATAATCGTTTATTGTTATTATTTAATTGATAATTTGGGTTCGTAATTTTGTATGTATGCTCACAACATTACGAATACAAGAAACTTAGTTCAAGTTATGCCATAACAAGTCTTATGTATATTATCTTTAGGTCTAGAATTGTGAATATGTTAGTCTTCGTTAGGTCTTACGCTAGGTAGGTGCTGTAGTTCTAGTATTTATAATGAATGTAATTTGACGTTTTGGAGGCCATTTTTGAAAGGCCTTAAAGGCGTTCCAGTTCCAATATACGAATAGTAATTGCTACGAGTCGTTCTTTTGAAGACGAGTTTGGATTGGACACACCAAAACTTTGCGCTTTTAACACTTGTTTGTATGAAGGAACACATCGTAGGAGACTCAAAAATTCGACGGAGAAAGGCACAGAGGGCTGATCACTTACTGCCTATAAAAAAATTATCACGATTCAGAAATCTGGGACCAAGGGTTGTTACGCTGTTTAATTGAGGAAAGCTATTACCATACGAACGACTGAATTGTTCGTATTTTCAAACGAAATGGGTTATAAAATATAATTAAATATTGAAGAGAAAGTGCTGCTCTTTCTCCAACCGAAAAGGAGAATCCTCTTCCAGTCTAACCATCGACCTGCCTTTTCGAAGTTATACTTCTTTTGGCGTGTTAGTGAGAGTAAATTTTTAACGATGCGCACACCGTCACAGAAAACCGACACCCTGAAGTTAGCTATAGTCAACATTTTAGTTTTTTCTATATTTGGTGTCGTTTTTTTCTACAAACGTGATTTTTATCTTGTAACGCCAAAGAAGTATAACTTCTAACGCGTGTATATAAGTACATACACGTTTTTTTATCACGCTCTTGACATGACCTTGTCAGCTCAGCTCGGGCTTTGCCCCCGATTAGCGCAAGGGCGTCTCCTGCAAGTCTCGGACGTTGCAGAGGGCTCTATCGCAATTATCGTAAAGGTCCTGTTGATGGAAAGAATTTCAAAATTATGTCACTGTTAGAATGCTAGATCCCTTAATTTCCAAAAATATTTAAAAAATACCAGACCAGAAATTTAGTCTAATAAATAATATACGATTCGTAACAATTACTAACGGTATTTTATAGAACTTGTGACAAATTATCTCTATGCAACAATTAATGTGCAAGAACGGTCAAATCGTGCGTTTGATTGTGATCAAAAATGGCCTCCAAACGTGAAAGAAATGGAAATGTGTAGAATTTTTTATTTTATTACGCAGTATGTTGACGTATTTATATTATATGGCAACTTTAGAAGGTAGGGTTGCCAACGAATGTATACGTAGAAATTATTAATTCAAAATTAATGAGGGTAACATTGTATCGAAATTTAATACACTAATGTGCTAATTCTGATGTTCATAAATCCACAGAAAATTCATGAAAAATACCAGCTGACCCGTGTATGGTGTGAGAGACGTACATATGACGTCATAATTGATGGCTCTATTAATTATTACGTCATCTAGTTATATCACAGAGTATAGATATGGATATTCGACAGTTTTTTTCTTTAAATTTATTTATTAAAAAAACTTTTGTGGTAATTAATTGTGTTAAATGGTACATACACCTAGGCTATACACCAGTTTCATTATATGTTTGTCTATGAACGCGATAAACTCAAAAACTGATGGATTTTCGTATAGTTCACTTCTTGATGAAGCTTGAAGTCGATTCATAATGCTTTTTACTTTTTATGTCAACTAAAATATTATTATGAAGGCGTCACTATTTGTCTATGATCTAGAAAATGCTTGCGAAGCTATGGGTAGAAGCTCACTTAAGGTTTTATATGAAGCTAATCAATATACTAGAATCATCGGAGTTAGCATCTTAGCTACAGATGGTTAACGCGGCGTTGGCACTTTGACAATTCACTGTATGATAAATACATTTTTATATAACACAAAAATGCTGTTACATTTTTGTCGAGATAATTATTAAGTATAAATCGGTAAAAAAATAAACGAATTTTTACATATGTCAACTGTCAAAGTTTGGCAGTCTTAATGGTAGCGTTTTGGGATCATAATAACTCTATTAGAGAGTATGTGTATAAGAGTGAAACTAATTCTTGTTCGCGTCATTTTTATTCACAAAGTTTTTATTTCGTATCTAACTGTCGGAATTATATTTGTCATTTATCAACTTGACATACTAGGAGTCTTACTTATCATTAAGTCTCGGCTCTGAATCGTGGTATTTCCCTCACAAAGTAGTTCATCAGCTTTTCAATATAACTTAACAGTGATCTCAAATACCAAGACTAGTATCATTTTTAAGGGTTATTTGCTAAATTTGACTAAAATTGGCAACACAGAACGTAGAAGGTGCTGTTTACTTGGCTTAGGGACGCGATAATGTATCGTCGCCATTAATAGTTGACTTTAAACTCACTGTCAAGTGTCATCTGTCAGAATGTAGAAGGCGCCGCCTGTATTTGGCCCAAGGACGCGGTAATGGCCTCCATTGGAGGTTTTGTTTCGTCAAGTGTCAAATGTCAGCTGTCATATTTAGTTGGCGCAATTAGACAAGTTACCCATCTGTAGCGAGTGTATATAAGTATATATAGGTTTGGAACGGTGCAGCTTGTAATCTGTAGATTATGTATTTATTTAGAATTATTTGTG